CACCCTAGCCTCCCAAGCCGAGGCCGAGTGGTCTTTGCAAAGCTGCCTCCAGCTGCGGAGGGCGGGATGAGTGGGGTGGGGGGTGGGCTTGCACGGGCCCCGGGAGAAGGAAGTCCCCCCGCCTTCACCCGCCTCCCCAATTGAACATGGCTCTCTGGTTGCAACACTTCTAATTGCAAAAACGAGGCTGGGGGTGGGGGTATGTATGTGTGCTGGGAGCGGGGAGAGTGTATCTGAGGGTCCCTAGATGATTAGAGTTGCAAGCTAGGGTGGTTGGGGAAGAGGGAGGAATGGATCTGTTTTGTGTGTGCCATCCGTTGTTTCTCTTCCCTTGCAACGTGTCTCTGGTGCCCCTTCTCTGCCTGCCCCCCTCCCCTGTCCAGCGCGAAGGAAAAACCTGGGGGTGGGGGATGAGAGGGGCAATGGAAAGAGCCACGCATTTCCAGGGGTGGAGGTCGCAGAAGGAAAACCAGTGGGATGTGAGCCCACCCCTCAATGCTGGCTCTGGCCCCAGGAGGGGGAAGGGATGAAGGGGGCTGTCGTCCAAGATGAGGGGGGAAGCAAATGTGACATGCAGACGCAGAGCTATGCCCACACAGACAGCTACATGCACACCCAGGGACACCCAGGCAGACTCAAGGACAGGAGCTGCTGGACACACCCACATGGGGACAAGGGAAGAGGCAGGCTGCCGCTGCACAGGGGAGCTTGGAGGGGTGGGACACACCCACGGAAGACCAAGAGCGGGAAGACCGACCCAAGCGCATACCCACGCACAGGGTCACAGGGAGATGCTGTCACACACAGGGGCAAGGAGGAGTCGCTGTCACCCACACAGAAGTCACTATCGCATGCATGCATGAACACAGAGCAATTGCACACAGCCGCACATTACAAAAGACCCTGTCACTCACAGGCACACACGTGCTCTCATGAGCGCAGTCACACAGGCATCATCGCCCTGCCGTGACAGTCGCCGTCACTCAGTCAAACACAGTTACACATCAACACATGTATACACAAATTAGCAACAAGTATTTTTCTGGACTCTTAACTGTGGATCTCTGAGGTTCTGTATACAACAAAACCCCTGTTCCCAGAACAATTCAATTTGTCTGGGTGAAAAGACTTTCCTACATAATGGTGTATGGCATGCATTCAGGATAACATTCTCCATCTCTTTCGCCTTTCACCCCACCCCATAGATGGTGAGCTCCTTGAGGCCTGGGAGAATCTCTGGAAGAGCTCTGGATCCCACCCAGAGCCTAGCACAGGAAGTGCTCTGTAAATACTTGTTAATTGATTGACTGTAGGAACTCTGGACACAGGTGCACTCATTTGCACACAGTCCCAGGGACTCAGGTGCAGAGGCATTCACAAGACTCAGGTCCACGCAGTCACAGTCTACGACCTCAGGTGCACACTCTGTAGTTATGTAGTCAGGCACACCCCAAGATATACATGTAGTCATAGACTTTTTTCCGTTTTTTTTTTTTTGAGGGAAAGAGAAATTAGAGCAAAGAGAGTAGATAAGGGGGTTCTAGAGGGCCGAGTCACTAGCCTGAAGCAGTGTCCAGTGACTTCCGGCAGCTGGTATTATCCTGGCTGCTGGGGGGATGGGGGTTTTGGGGAGACCTGGCTCATAAGGAGCAGCCCCATTCCCCACCCCAAAAGCCAAGGGGAATCTAGTTGCCCCCGCTGGGTTCATTTGTCTAAGAAGTTCCTGGGTATGTTCACTCGCCAGCTCACTCCTGCCTCCCACCGTGAGTCTGGCCCCTGTTCCCACCTCTGCCCTCCTGTCTAAACTTGGAAGCCTCCCTTAGGGGGCCGTATGCTGGTGAGTGTCTGGGTGAGTGATGTGTATTTTTGACTTGGAATTTCTCTCCAATGCTGTCTCTCTGTTGCCCTGTCTTGCTGCGTCTATTCTCCCTCCCCTTGTTTCTCTGCCAATCTGGAACTCCCTCTCACCCTGTCCCTACCCCTGTAGACCCCTGTTCTGGTCTCTTGTTCCTGCCACAGCCTCCTTTCTCTGAGCTGGGAACTGGCAGTGATGGTCTTCATTCTTTTCCAGTTGTTAATACTCAAGCCCCGCCCCTCAGCCCCGCCTGCCCTGCCTGTGGGGTCAGGGAGAGGTTGGGGTAGGGGGCGGGGGGCTCAGCTGGCTGCTCAGGACATCCTGCACTTCCTCAGTGCTGCAGCTGCGGCCCTCCAGTTTGGGGGGCTGGGGATGGGGGGGAAGGGAAGGGGGACAGCTACTGCCCACGCTGACCTCTCAGGGTTGGCCGGCTCAGGCAGGAGACACCAGCTGCAGGGAAGCCCTGGGTGTGCAGACTACAGCGAGCTTGCTCCCATACAGGCCAGGGTGGAGGCTCCCGCCACACTGACCCTCTGGAAAAACGATCGCCCCTGTGGGCAGTGGCGGGAGTTGGCAGCACCCAGCTAAGTTGGGTCCGTGGCAGGACTCACAATGGCCTTTCTCCATACCCCTGGCAGCTGAGACCCTCCTCAGAGATGCCCAACAGCTGTGTCTGCTTTGCCCAGCCCAAGCCTGGTTCTGAGGGCACAGCTGCCCAGACCTTGTGTGAGGCTGAGGGAGGCCCTCTCCCCTCAGTACAGACTCCAGCCCGGAGTGGCAGAATGGGCAACTCTTCCAGAGAGGGAATTTGAACAGGGGACACTGGGGCAGGAGGCCCAGAGCCCCGGGGGCACCTACCATTTCTAGCCATGCTCCCCTCTAGCTGTGGCCTCTATGGTGGACAAGGAGGCACGGGTCAGAATTCTAACCATAGAGAATCCATGGCTGCTACAGAAAGGGAAACTGAGGCTTGGTCACAGGGACCAGCATTTCATAGCCCGATGAAAGCACAAGGTATTGTTCCTCTAGCAGGTAATATGCTATAATGGTTAAAAGCAGGGATTTTTTGTTTGCTTTTTCAGTTGTTTTTTTTTTATTTTTTTTGCTTTTTTT